TTTTATATTTTGTTACCTTGAAAGGCTTTGTCTTTATAATAGGGAAATTAGTTTGGCTGTAATGCTCAAACAGCTTGCAAAATAGAAAAACCAACATGACAAAGAATCGTGATTGAATCGTGATATTTTTGCCATATCGCCCACCCCTAGCCGAGGGGGAACAAACCCATAAAAACAAACAAAACATGAAACAATCATGTAAATGATGTAGCGTCTGGACCAATCAGACACACCATTTTTCATTTGATTTAACAAATCAATTATTCATTAGATTAACAAACGATCCCCATGAGCTGATTCGCTACAATGATTTGGTGTAATAGTGTAAAACCCCCAAAAAACTCTTGAATCTTCTGAAATTATGGAATTTAATTATTTGAATGATTTATAATTATTTTATTGAATTATTTTAACATACTGCCAATCGAAGGGGGGGGGCTTCGTGTCAAAAAGCTTGAGAACCACTGATCAAGAGACTATGGTGCAAGTCTCTATAAAAAAAGGTCACAAAATATAGCATTGGTTGCCAAATTACAAAACTGCTCAGTACAGATGGGTTGATGGAATAGATAGTTCACCCAAAACCAGCTAACACAAAAGATGATATTTTGAAGCATGTTTTCAGAAAAAAAAGCACAGGGACGTTCTTAAAAATATCATCTTTTGTGCTCTGCAAACGTAAGTCATAAAGGTTTGAACTGATATGAAGGTGAGTAAAGGGCAACCAGAATTAGACACCTAGAGTGCACATTAGAAACCTACAGTGCACAGTACAGTAACGGTTCTCTGTTCATTTTGAACCAAACAAATTCAATAAATTATTCATGGTTCAATAAGGGAGTCATTTGTGAGTTCAGTGATGGTCATCTCTGCACAAATGAAATGTGCAACACTTTGCATTAATTTAACTTACACTGGTAAGTTTCTCAATATTTCACAATTTTGGGCCATGTGAGTTCCAAAATGTGATCAATGATGGAACATGCTTAGCTTTGAAGCAGTATCTGAATACTAATCCAATGCGTACTACAGATAGAGAGTGGATTAAGTATGCATTAAAGGGACAGTTCACCCAAAAATGTAAATTCTGTCATTAATTACTCACCCTCATGTCTTTCCAAACCTGTAAGACCTCCGTTCATCTACGGAACACAAATGAAGATATTTTTTATGCATTCTGAGAGCTTTCTGACCCTGCATAGACAGCAAGGATCCTAACACGATCAAGGCTCAGAAACGTAGCAAAGACATCGTTAAAATAATCCATTTTACTTTAGTGGTTCAACCGGAATTTTACGAAGCTATGAGAATACTTTTTGTGCACAAAGAAAACTAAAATAACGACTTTATTCAACAATTTGTCTCCTCCGCATCACCCTGGCGCCATTTTGGAGTAAAAAATGTATGCAACGTACGTACGCGTATCCGCATACGGTGTTGCTGACACAGAACAGCATACATTGTTTACGTATGTGATACTTTCCAAAATGGCACTATAGGGTGACGCGGAGGAGACGAATTGTTGAAAAAGTATTCTCGTAGCTTCATAAAATTAAGGTTGAACCACTGAAGTCAAATGGATTATTTTAACGATCTCCTTGCTACGTTTCTGAGCCTTGATCGTGTAAGGATCCTTGCTGTCTATGCAGGGTCAGAAAGCTCTCGGAATTCATCAAAAATATCTTAATTTGTGTTCTGAAGATGAACGAAATCAAGAGACTATGGTGCAAGTCTCTATAAAAAAAGGTCACAAAATATAGCATTGGTTGCCAAATTACAAAACTGCTCAGTACAGATGGGTTGATGGAATAGATAGTTCACCCAAAACCAGCTAACACAAAAGATGATATTTTGAAGCATGTTTTCAGAAAAAAAAGCACAGGGACGTTCTTAAAAATATCATCTTTTGTGCTCTGCAAACGTAAGTCATAAAGGTTTGAACTGATATGAAGGTGAGTAAAGGGCAACCAGAATTAGACACCTAGAGTGCACATTAGAAACCTACAGTGCACAGTACAGTAACGGTTCTCTGTTCATTTTGAACCAAACAAATTCAATAAATTATTCATGGTTCAATAAGGGAGTCATTTGTGAGTTCAGTGATGGTCATCTCTGCACAAATGAAATGTGCAACACTTTGCATTAATTTAACTTACACTGGTAAGTTTCTCAATATTTCACAATTTTGGGCCATGTGAGTTCCAAAATGTGATCAATGATGGAACATGCTTAGCTTTGAAGCAGTATCTGAATACTAATCCAATGCGTACTACAGATAGAGAGTGGATTAAGTATGCATTAAAGGGACAGTTCACCCAAAAATGTAAATTCTGTCATTAATTACTCACCCTCATGTCTTTCCAAACCTGTAAGACCTCCGTTCATCTACGGAACACAAATGAAGATATTTTTTATGCATTCTGAGAGCTTTCTGACCCTGCATAGACAGCAAGGATCCTAACACGATCAAGGCTCAGAAACGTAGCAAAGACATCGTTAAAATAATCCATTTTACTTTAGTGGTTCAACCGGAATTTTACGAAGCTATGAGAATACTTTTTGTGCACAAAGAAAACTAAAATAACGACTTTATTCAACAATTTGTCTCCTCCGCATCACCCTGGCGCCATTTTGGAGTAAAAAATGTATGCAACGTACGTACGCGTATCCGCATACGGTGTTGCTGACACAGAACAGCATACATTGTTTACGTATGTGATACTTTCCAAAATGGCACTATAGGGTGACGCGGAGGAGACGAATTGTTGAAAAAGTATTCTCGTAGCTTCATAAAATTAAGGTTGAACCACTGAAGTCAAATGGATTATTTTAACGATCTCCTTGCTACGTTTCTGAGCCTTGATCGTGTAAGGATCCTTGCTGTCTATGCAGGGTCAGAAAGCTCTCGGAATTCATCAAAAATATCTTAATTTGTGTTCTGAAGATGAACGAAGGTCTTACGGGTTTGGAACGACATGAGGGTAAGTAATTAATGACAGAATTTTCTTTTTTGAGTGAACTATCCCTTTAAGGACACTGAGCTTTGCCGTTTATCAGACCTCAGCACACTTCCGGTCACTGAATGTGGATACTGGACTGACCCTGATTTAAACTTTTAAGCCTAAAACTTTTTCATATATTTGACTCAAGAAAAAGAATTGATTCGTAACAGTCATTTTGTTGTGAATCGGACATCACGACAAATCGAATATTTATTATTTGAAAGAATGAGCAGAGAATGAATAAACAGCTCACCTTTTACAACAGCCTCCTTGTATTTGTCTCTTGCTAAGACAGCATCCTTAGTTAACTGCCTGTAGGTGCATTTCAACTTCTCAAGATCGCTTTTAGTTACCTGTGAGGAATAGAAGCCAACTCAAAACTGATCCATCACACTGGTCCTGTTTAAACCTGGTATTACAATGCATTTTCAGTGATCCAATCACAAGTGAGTCAGCTGAGACAAATAACCATTTACACCTGTTCTTCACATGAGTTTTAAATGTGACCACATGTGTTCGGATTTCGTCACACTCTACATCACTTTCACGATATCACTGCGTGCAATGCACAAATATGATTGAATAAATAAAGTCATTACTCTGCTTACGAGTGAGTGAGAACAGAAGCAAATGGAAAGAACATGAATAATAATGGCGATTTCAATCATAATCTGTGTTTTTGTACAACATTACTAAGTAGCAATCGATTGTTTTGGTGCGCTTCGTCAAAACACGTCCCATAACGATCACGTTAGGTCAGAGGGTGGCAAGTATAGGCAGCCTTTTGCGATTTTTCAAATACATTCAACTACATGAGTGTCTACCAGAGGTTGAAAGTAACTAATTACAAATACATTCATTACAGTACTCGAGTACATTTTTTACATTTTGTAAATTCTTTTATTTTTTCTACTTTCTTGAGTATAATTAAATTGTGGTACTTTTACTTTTGAGTAAAATAAAACTAAAGTATTCAACTTCGCTACATTTATTTTTCACCTAAAGTACAAAAAAACAACAACAACAACAACAAAAAAAAACATTAGAAAAAGGAGCGCCTATGGAAAAGGCGTTTGATGGGCACTTTTCAAACTTCTGGGGTGGAGCCCTGTGCTTCAGGCAATAACAGACAGGTCTGACTCGAGTGCAAAACCAATCAAAACTTCCAGTTCAGCTGGGAGGTGGGGCATTCAAACCGCGCCTTGCTTTGACTGTCAATCACCGGTGTTCTGTCGATTTGTGCTACCCTGTCAGATTTTGCTACCTCCCATTAAAACAGTGGGTAGTACAATTCGACAACGAAAAATGCTACCTGTAAAATTATGGTTTATTAACGTCTACACCTACCCCAACCCTAAACCTACCCTTACAGTAATGCAAATACAGTAATTATGTGTTATATTAGCGGTTGTAGCTATAAGGGATACAGCTACAGGAAAACAACAATAAATAATTTTTTCTACCTATTAGATTGTGTTTTATTAAAGTCTACACCTACCCCAACCCTAAACCTACCCTTACAGTAATGCATTCAGCTGTGGGGGCGGGGCGTTCAAACCACACTTTGCTTTGACTGTCAATCACCGGCGTTGTCGTTTTGAATCAGCATCATTAGCGTTTCAATATTTTAGTGAATGTGAGCTATGCTCTGATTTTAAATCATAACTTTGTCAGCTCCTGAAATAACGTTGATATTACCAAAGCACACAGCAGTAAGTAAATAGAAAACTCGGTTGATAGAATTATTGCATGGATGGAGAAAGAACAATGTAAGTGTCTAAAATACATGCACATAGTTCAGTTGAATGGTAAAAATCGCCCTCTTTAACAGTGCAGTTAAACTAAATGTACGAAGCTAAAATAACCTCAACATTAACAACATTGAAATAAAAGCGCATGCATTTTACGTGCATCTGACTGACAGATCAACCATGATTTATCTGTCAACCAGATGCATTTTAAATCACTTTTTCTGTGTGCGTGCTTTGGATGTGTGTGCACATGGGTGAAGAAACAAGATAGTATATGTATGACCACACGATTTATTCATATCCAAAACGAGATGATGTAAACATCTCGGAGCGCTAAACACTCTCATGCAGTGCATGTTTCATTCATACTCGAAGCCGGAAGGCGCTCTCGCGCAGAAAGTCCAAAATGGCCTCGTAGAAGTAATATATAATAACCAACTTATGACGTGCAGGAAATCCCTAATATGGACAAAGGCATCCTCTATAGCTGTAGTAAATATAGTATTTGAATAATGCAGTGCTAATTGACATAACATTTATTACATTATAGAAACTATTCTGCCCTATTATGTGTTTGAATAAACCAATCCTAAAATTGTCATTAGGAAAATACAGAAAAAAATATTATAGAATACAAATGATTGGTTATAGTCCAGCAGTGTATTTGATTTCTTAGCCAATTAAAATACATAAGAAAAAAATAAAGTCTGTCAATTAGACAAGTCAAAAAGTTCCCCTCAAAAGTCCCCGTCATTTCTGAAATGATGGCTACACCCCTATGTGTGTAGTACAGAAAACAGTGCACGAGTCTTCTTGTGCTTGAATGGTTTAAAGTCATTAAAATGTGCACAAAGGAATCGATAAGAGAAATCGAAATTTTTATTTTATAACAAGTAGATGATTCCTGACCTTAAGCATCCTATTCCAGAATTGGAATAGATTTTGGATTCCCAAACCTAGGTATGGGTTAAAATGTTAAATAAAATGCAATTTTATTTTGTCCTACCGAATGTGTCCCTGGAGTCCACCTTTGTTATTATAACAAACTACACTTTCAATGTGATTTTAAACCATTCAAGTCAAGAAGACTCATGGGCTGTTTTCTCTGCTGCACACACATCCTTGTGTAAGTGTTCTTTAACCTGTTGATTTTCATTCATAGTACTCAGCTATTAAATATTTTGCAATAAGATGATATCTTAAGATTTTTTATTTATTTTTAATTTTTTTTACCTTATTGGAATCAAAATTGGGAATTGACAAGAATTGGAATCATTAAAATTCAAACGATGCCCAACATTACCCACACCCCACATTATTTTTTTACTGGCACCTTTCTATTCACACTGTTTTAGACCCTTTCTTTTCTTTTAAACCTTCACTTACCCTTCTTTGCTTTTGCCTACTTTTCAAAATTAGTTATAAAACAGTTGCTCCTGGCAACAGGGATAGGCAGTATGTTTGCTTAACATAGCATCAAACATGACAATTTATGAGACTAATATCATGGTTTGCGCCAAAATCACTATATAACATCAGTCGTGTTTGAAACAGTTAGCTTCTGTGGTTCCATGTTGCTTTTTACCACAGTGAGACAGAAAATATTTTTTATAAAATTCTATACTGTAATGCAAGCTATTTCAATTAGCATTGCATTGCAATTGTGTGTTTATTGTCTTACACGTTTCATCAGGCAAAGCGTCTCTATCTGCGTGATATCTGATGCATTTGTCCATATAAAGGATTTCCTGGGTCTCACTTGTGAAACAGACATTACAATACATGAGTGTTAGGGTTACCCCGCTCCATAATGCTCACATCATCTCATTTTGAGTAAAAATAGTAAAATAATACTAAAGTACTTTGTAATGCAGTAAGTCGAGTAGTTTTTCAGCAAACTACTTTTTTACTCTTACTTGAGTAATATTCTTTTTCAGTACTTTTACTTGTACTCAAGTAAATGATTCCTTTATTAGCAATACTTTTACTTAAGTACAATTTCTTAGTACTCTTTCCACCACTGGTGTCTACCCTACAAAAGCAATCGCTTGAATGCATTTTTCATTACCTCTGGAAATGGTTGAAAGTGGACAAGCTCAAAATGATTTACATTCCATTTAGACCTGTATTAAATGTCGTCAACTTGTGATCGGATGAATGAAAACACATCTTAATACCAGGTGTAAACAGGGCCACTGATGTTCTCTGAATCTATATAAAGGCTCACCTTGTGCATCTCAGACTCGATCTGCTGGTGGAGGCTTTGGTAACTCTTCTTCACCTGCTGCTTGTCTTTGATCATCATTGTGAGGCGGTGGAGAGGCCCTGAGTTGAGCTCCTCAGCGTGGCACTTCATAATCTTGCTCAACTGCTCCGTCTGCTGAACCATGTGAGTCCACGACTGATAACAAAAAACACATACCAAGATACAAAAAGACAGGATAAGAAATGTGGGTGAGTGAGTGTGAGAAACAAACAAAGAGATAAACAGAGATTGAGAAGGCGAGACAAAAACAGAGAGAGCAGGTTGCAGAATGACTAGTTCTGAACATATAGAAAACATATAAAACATCAGCTCCACCTGCCGACCCATAATGCAGCTATTGGCCATTACCTTGGACACTGTACTGACATAGTGGATCTGAGAGGAGTTGTCATGCTTGTCCACCTGCTGACTGATGTTGAGCAGGAGCGATGCATATTCCTTATCACTCTTCACCCGCAGGGTCATGAACCGCTTCACCGTCTCCAGCAGCTTCAGCTCCCAGTCCTGCAGCTTCACCAGACCCTCGTGGGAGTTGCGCAGGTCCTGGCCGAACCCCATCTTGCTCGCAAGGCACGTGCGCTCTCTCTCGTTCAATGGGGTGTGCTGCTCAGGTCTGCATTGTTACTGCTGCCGAGATATGATATGGGTAGAGATAATGACTGGTTAGTTGAAGTGCATGAACATATGTGCCAAGTTGTTTTCTTCAGTTGGTTTCATATGGTTTATCATTATCTATAAAAGTTTAAATGGAATGACTCATATGGCATGTAACCATGACACAAAAAATAATGGTATATTTTTTTACATGATGAAAACATGTGAGTGTACATATCTGAACTTACATTTATTTCTTTTTCTTTTTCTACAAACATTATAAATTATTATCAATTATTGTTATATTATTATGTCACACCATATGACACTATACAACCTGAACTAACATGGTGCCATCATAAAAAGGTCAAATTATTTGATATTTTAAAAAACTAATTGACATTCTGCAGGGGTAATCTCTATGACATAATTTCCTGTTTTTATTCTGCATGTTGGTCATACCACATGACTTTGACATGACAGATTTTTAAAATAAATATAATTAATATAATATTTCTAAATAAATATATTTTAATCTAATAAATACATAGGCCTAAATAAATATAAAAATAAATGAATAAATCAATAACATAATGCCAAACTTCTTAAAAAAAAAAATCTAAATAAATAAATAAACAAATGACTATGCCAAACAACTATAAGGTTTATAAACAAACTATAAGGTTTTCTTTTCAATTAATGGGTTAGTTCACCCAAAAATGAAAATTGTCATTAATTACTCACCTTCATGTCATTCCAAACCCGTAAGACCTTCGTTCATCTTCGGAACACAATTTAAGATATTTTTGATGAAATCCGAGAGCTTTCTGACCCTCCATAGACAGCAAGGTTACTACCACGTTCAAGGCCCAAAGGCAGTAAGGACACCGTTAAACCGTTTATTCAACCATAATTTTATGAAGCTACGAGAATACTTTTTGTTCATAACGAAAAGAAAAATAACGGCTTTATTCAATTCTTCTCTTCCGTGTCAATCTCCACTGCACATTCACGAGAGTACCACGACACATGCACTGTGCCTTGTTTACAAGCAGAGGAATGCACACGCATGTGTCATGGTACTCTCGTGAATGGCGGCTGAGACTGTCCCGGAAGAGAAGAAAACGTAATTTTGTTTTCTTTACACAAAAAGTATTCTCATAGCTTCATAAAATGAAGGTCGAACCACTGATGTCACATGGACGATTTTATCAATGTCCTTACTACCTTTCTGGGCCTTGAACGTGGTAGTTGCGTTGCTGTCTATGGAGGGTCAGAAAGCTCTCGGATTTCATCAAAAATATCTTAATTTGTGTTTGAAGATGAACGAAGGTCTTGCGGGTTTAGAACAACTTGAGGGTGAGTAATTAATGACAGACTTTTCATTTTTGAGTGAACTATGCCTTTAAGGCTTTTTTCTTCTTATCTTCATCATGTATCACACTGTGTATGTATGAATATAAATGCAGGTATATATAAACTTCATAACATTACACTTAACAATTGTTGACATAGGCCTAGTTTCTGAAGCCTTTAATTTGCTTGCTTGATTTTACACTCTATAGAAGCAACCAAACAAATGACAACAATACATTTTATGTGATAAATATTATGTAATGGGTTGTTTCTTTCAATTAAAAAAAAGCTGTTGAACACAATCTATTTTTTAAAGAAATTTCTATTTCACATGATAGTCAACTACCATTACTTAGTTCCCAGTAAAACGCAGACAACTTTTTACCATACAACAAGTGGTTATCCAGAATGGAGAAATATCAGCAGACGACCCAAAATGGACAACTGACATGCCACATTCAAGAAGTGTCCATCCAAGCATGACACAAACGGCACGATCTGTGTACACCTCAAAGCTCTGATCAGTCTTAAATAACCACGTAACACAAGCATCATAAAGCATTCTTACCTTGTTATCAACGCGTCTACATGCTGCTAAATAACCTCGCCCGACCAGTGCGTGCAAGTGAAACAGAGGAATAATATGCCTTAAACCGGTGAACATTTATGCCGGGTTTCCTAATACAGGTTAATTGAAAGAGAATGCAGTTTATCAAGTGCAAATCAAGGGAAACCAGACTTCCTGTGTGACGACCGGCTGATACCCACATGATTTATAAACTCAAGCCTGTTAAGAAAACAGTCAGATCTAAAACAGTCAATGACTGCTGAACTGAAAGCAAGGACTGTAACACAACACAACATTTTTACACCTCCAGTTCCTTTCTAAGCAACTAAAAAAAAAGTATGAGAACAACTTCAGGTATTTGTGGCTTCAGGCTAATGTGTGACAACATGCCACGACTAAAATGACACTGAGACATAACAATACTAATATACAACTGCTACAGTTAAATCAAAATGCTTTTAATATCAGAAATGGTGACAGACTGGTTTACAGCCTGTAGTAAAGCAAAAGGTTGTTTAATTACTGAGATTAGTAATGTAGTTTAATACTTCACAAAGCTCTTAATAACCTTCTTATATGAGAGTACATGCCTTCTGCTCCCCTTCATCCACACACAGCTCACATTTAGCTTATAGACCACCGATTAATTAAGAAGCTTACAGAAAGGCAGCTCTTTTGAGGATGTTTGCCACTAAAAGTGATTAAGGCTATTGTGTTGTATCGAATAACTTGCAGAATTCAAACAACTGTTTTCATTAGTGGAGACATAGGCTACTTTTTAAGATATCTTTGTTTGTGAGGGTTTAAGGTAGTGCTCTGGCAATACAATATTAAAATGACATTATTGGCGTAATAAAACGTAAGCAAGTTAAAGGTCTATCTTGCATGGGATATTTTTATTCAGTTAACATACCAAAGTTCACAGCAATTATTTAGTTTGTTTAAAGTTAGTTAACTGGCAGACTACAAGAGGTGGGTAAGTTGTGTCTATTAGCCACAAGAAAAAACCAAAGCGGCAAGACAAATAGATGAAGCTGATGTCAATTTGACAGTAACAGCTATTGTTGGTTTCCTGTGAAAGTTACTGTTCAGACTAACACAGTCAAAAGTGACAGCTCTTGACAGATATATTATTTAGGAAGTTTGTTTAAATATAAATATGCTAAGAACGTTGACTCAAATCATCTTTTATTCACTTAAAATTTTTGGATGTCAATAAATAGATATTACAAGCAAGTTTAATATCTTATTGATAGAAGGTGATGTGACCGATTTCTGACAGAAAAAAAGTAACACTTTACAATAAGTTCCCAAACGTCAGTTAACATTAACAATTAATTGGATTTTTTAAATTACTGATTTAACTATCAGTTTGCAGTCTTTGTTTAACAAAAAAGTATTTGACAGAAACATTAAATAAATAAAGCAAATGGTATATAAAAAGTTTTACACTATTAGTCATAGAAAGGCAACCACTATAACACTTTCTCATATTCAGGGATTTGGACAGAAGAGTTCTGCTGTCACTGAAGACACATGAGCAATACTTTTTTAATTTATGATATCAAAACTATGCTACATTATATCCAGTTGGCCGCTATGTCATATTCACTTCACTGTATAGACTGTTAGATACACTGTTGTACTGTATCTAAAATCAGTGTTACAAGGTCTTTATTTGAGAAAATATGATTTCATTACATGAAGATGTTTTGACACTTGGTTCGATTGCTTGGTCCGAACACAAGTTGAATTCCAACCCTCCCTCAGTCTCTGCAGGTCTCGTTTCACATTGTAAATCATTTCACATTTTGAATAGGAGAAAGTAATTATGCATATTTCTAGTGGCTGACCAATATGGATTTTTTTGATGGCCTATGCTGATATATTAGGGATATAAAGAGGTTGTGTGTGATATTACAATATTTTTTAAAGATTTTTTTATATGTATTTTGCATAACATTTACTAAATACATAATTCATAATGTAAAATGTAAAAATATACTGTTAAACTTAAACAGATTACATAACAGATTTATACTTGATATAGAAGCCTTTTGTTGCACTATAGTATTTTTCTCAAATAAAGAAATTGTAAAAAGCATGAATAGAAAGGAAGTGAACACTAACCAACAGTGCAGTCAGTAATTTGTTACTTTGGGAACCAATAATTTCAATGATAGCTCAAAAGCAAAAGCCTGAGCCATCTATGAAAACACATCACAGAGCTGTAAAATAACCAGTGTGCTGTATAATCCTCTCTCACCCATAACACAATTAGGCTGGTTAATGCACATCAGTGGGAGTTTAGCTCAACAAGGATTTGCTGTGTGCTACAGAACAGCTCTGTGGGGGCACAGCTGCTTGAATAGCACTTCTGAGCACACCAGCGGAGGAATGTGTGTCCTCTACATGAGCGTCTCAAGAACGGGACACCAAACACAACATGTAAACAAAGTCAGCTGCTTGTGACCACCATCTCTTTATGTTAACATAATGGCGGATCAAAGACTTACAGTGTGTGTTCTTCCATTGTAATCCAGGTAAATACATTCTGGATGATTCTTACCACTTGTTTTATGACTAAAAAAAATACTCGCTGAGTCTCAGCCCAGTGGTTGTGACAGCTTTCTCACAGGAAATGAACCGCATGTTACTCCAAGTCCAAAACACTGTTCAAATCCAAAACGATAGCATAGACTCCCAGTTGTCAATGGTACAAATAGACCACAACAGACTGGGCATCAGTAAAATGATTGTGATTTACTCTATTAAAACACATGCATATATGTTCTAGGCATATAGTGGCCACAAAATGTATTTGCACACTTGGATTGTTGCAAACAAAACTGGAAGTCACTACATTATAACAAAATATGAAAGCAAGGGGCATTTTTTAAATAAAGCCAGCACAAGCACACTTAATAAAGTTTAGATTATATACAAATTGTATTTAACATCATCTTGTTTTCAAACGTTGATGTCCATCATTGAGTACTATAACTTACATCAAAGCATCTCTGATGCCAAAACTGAACCACGGTAATGCTTGATAAGGGTAATGTTAAGAGTTTATGATTATCATATAAAAGAGGAAACTGAAGATTTTCCCCCAACACAATTCAATGGAATGACCAATTTCCTTACACACAAACAGCCCTTCTCAGCATTCCTCCTCAATGCACAGCATGACACAATCTGACAGAATAACATTACATACTCATATTATGCGATTGGTTGAGCTGCTCAAGGTGAGTAAACCGCAATTTAGCTGGTTGTCTGCAGTCTGTTTATACCGCTGTTGTCAAAAGTTTAAAAGGAGTGACGGGCGACTGTTTTTTGTTTTCAGATATAACAACCTCACACATCCATAACCGCCATAAATAACATTTACGGACAGATGACAGACTGCAGAACATATTTTATAGGCTTACTGAACATGTTCATTGGCTTCCCTGTGCTGGTGGGACGTTAGCCGCTGCTAGCGCTGCCCTGCTAATGCTGCCTGGCCTTTTCCTTTGGAAAAACAAAAACAATTGAATACAAACGCGCAAAACCGAACCTCGCGCCACACCAAACACCGCCTGCGCGCCAACAAAATTGCTTATGTGATAGAATAGTAAACTGACTTACTGTAAAGGTGTATTGTGGTATTTCTCCGTGTTTCCTGATTCCTCGGTATTCCTCTTTTCTTTGACTGGGGTTGGAGGAGTTGAGTTGGGAATCGGGAGGGGTTTCCGCTCTGCTCCAGCGCTGCCACAGGTTTATGAGGCTCACCCCACGACCCTCGAGCCTGTGTCTGTGCGTGTG